TATCCTATCTTTAAATGAAATACAAATTATGATAAATTATTTGTATTAGGTTCTGTGGAGATTATAGAGTTTTCATAGATCTTTTATTTATTTATAACATTATTGAAAACTTAGAAATACTAGACGGTTGTTTTTATCGTAATTCACGACATAAGACCTATGAAAATTGTATAGTCTCCACAAAACCATATAATGATAATAATCATATGACCAACTTCTAGATTCAATTCCTGGAGTTCCAGTGAGAAGCCATAACCAATCAGTAGAGTCCAATCAAATAAGATGTGAGATAGTTATCCCCTGCAGGTAATTGATGTTAGACACTACCAATGCTTGATATCAACTCAGTGGTATAGAGATTAGGCATAAGCGTGCGAAACCAAAGGTCCTGAGTTCACTACCCAGATGTGAGATCGTGGATGTGCACCGCAGAGGAGTTCCATGCTATGAAGGTACGGGCGTCCATTGCTTCCACTATTATGGTGGTCTAACTAAGACATGTTCGTGATATAAAATCTACGAACTATTTGTTTTGTCTAAGATGCTAATCGCTATCATTCTCTATGTAAGCCAATCGAAATTCCATTTATAATTTTTTTTACCTCGCATATTCTATTTCGTCTGTAACTTAACGTCCCCAGTCTCTTCTAGTGATACGTCCCAGCTGACACGAGTAAATTTGAGTTCATATAAACTTATCTCTTATTGTTCCGCTGATTCGTAACTTTTTCTTTTATCCCCTGCCTTAAGTCTAAGAAAAAAGAGCAGTCAAACTTTTATTATTATATTCCACCCATACAATGTATTTATCCCTAACACATTAACTTACATACATGAAATATCCAACTGCAACTCAAATTAGGAAACCATTATTTGCATACAATCACTCCATAAATGACAGAACGAAGTGAACATTACATTAATAATTATCAATAATTGAGAATTAATGAAACATATAACAATAGTTAACATTTTCTTTGGAAGCTTACAATAAGGGTGTTTTGTCTGAAGGCCCGTTGATCAATATCATGTGCCAAGTCGCCAATCAGAATCCTAATTCTAATTTGGTCTATTATTTAATCTATAGCTTAATGTCTCTGACTTGGTCTATTATACGTCTAACCAGCACTACCGACTTTGAGTCGATGAAGCTTGGTTTTTACAGGTTTGTTATTCACAAGCTTCTCTCAATACCTTGCCTTGAGTTTAGAAGTCAGCAACCAGCTTTAACTATATTTATATTTCGAACTGACGTTTGTATACAGGGTTTCACCATACCGTGAAATGAAAAATAACAATTAGACACGAACAAACAGAAAGTGGCTACGAATATGAGAGACCGTAAATAATAGACTGGCAAGAAATTATGACCGTTGGTTTATGGGCTGACGAAAAGTTTATGATGAGCGAAATACATAAACGTAGTAATTTGGTTACTCTCTAATTATACAACTAAATTATAATTATTAATAATTTGGAAAATTACTTCAAATCTACAACATTCGTGCCGTTTTAAAAAAGGTGGGAATATGAAAATACAATAATACTGTTAACTACTACACGATAAAAATACAAATAATAGTAATAATTTGGGATTTAGTCCCTGATATTGTAGTTTGCGTACACTAATCAATATCATCAATCGGAATTCCGGCTGTAATTTTATGTTTCTCGCGTCCATTCTTTCGTTTATAGACTAGTGTCCTGGACCTGATTAAATACACTCATGACTCACACAGTTAGCCTTGAGAATACATAGTCTGAGCACCTAGTAGTCGGCTATTCATAAAACCTTCTCGATCTTCTTCCTTGAGTCCAAGAGAGACGTTAGCAGCCAGCTTCCATGATACTCAATTCAATCATGACTCAAAACTCACAATAATATAGAGTGAAATCATAACCACACATCAACATAATTAAGAAATGACAATAACGAAATAACTACGCTATAAATGGAAGAGAACTGAGTAATAGGTCTATAATAAATGAACAGTAACTTAAGTAAAGTAGAGCATACAACAACAGTTTATGTATGACGAGAAAGCAGAAGAATACAAAAATGCGGTAACTTAAGTAGTTGATAAGGAGCAAAAATAACTTCAGAAAGGAGAAAATCCTAAATTTTCTAATAATCGTTTCGTTTTAATGCCAAGAGGTATACTTTCCTCAGTATTTGCTTCACTGGAACTATTTTTGTTTTCGTTATTTGCATAGTTCGTTCATAATTACAGAAATTCAGCCTTATTGTTAATTCTGGTTATATACTAAATTGTATGTGTAAGTTGAACAGGTTCATACTGGTTATTTTCATATACGTAAAGTTTGTTTTTATACAATTTCAAGATGATGTCATACATATGTCACACATATAATCCTTACAAATCCAAAATGTCACTTCAGCACTGACTAGCATCGGCGCCTGAAATAATGTTTAGTGGTGGAGTAGTTGAATTGCTTCACCTATCTTGAGTCTCATCAATCCCGGTGTTTGGTGAAATATCTGCTCGGATTCAGAGACCTCGGCTGCGCTTCGCTAACTCCCATAACTCATGGCGTAGGCGAGATATCCGTTTACTGACAGAAGGACAAGTCTTTTGTGCAGCAATTCGTTCCGCTATACTTTGCGTGTGAGAGATGGTCATTAAAAGTAGAGGACATTTGTAGGTTACTAGTATTAAGTCTTAGGTGTCTCCGAAGCACCACTTGCGTACCTTGGGACCACGGATTAAGCAATGGCCTGTATTAGGAATAAAGTAAGCACCTTAGATGCCGTTGCTGTTCTGCATCACAGTATAGTGTTCAGCTTAGAAAAGAGTAAGAAGTATGTTCGATGAGCTTTTCTGAACTGTACTTCTGCTTCTGATTCTATCCCAAGACAACTTTTACATAACAAGTTAGTCAGCGTCAACATTGACAGCTCGATAACCAACTGGCTACGTTTCTACCTCTCTGGAAGAAAACAATACACTTTCCGGAGGGGGGTGTTCAACGCCTCTACTGTCTCGTAAATGTGTGCCACAAGGAGCTGTCCTTTCACCTCTTTTTTCTGCATGATCTGGCATCTATCATAGAAAACACTTTTGTGAAATATGCGGACGATCTCACTGTATGTATGTTGATTTCTACCTCCTTATAACCCTTAAAATGAATGAGTTTTTGTCTCGTATTGATTGTTGGTCTGTCGGTAATGGTTTCATACTTAATTCGTCTAAATGTTACACTGTTAACTTTAGTCTGAGACATGAACAGCACCTAAACACCATGTTGGGATCCCATAATGCTTGTGCTATTGAAACTCTGATAAACACAGTGTCGAAGGTCAATAATCTTGGTGTTACCTTGTAGTGGTTGTGTTTCGTTAACCAATCACCCTCGTAACCGTTACCATATAATCCTCAACGGTGTTTGAAATCAGAAGGCAAAGAGAAGCTGCTGCTACAGTTTTATTAGCAGATAACTCAGACCACAAAGCAGTGTGGCAAATGAATGAGCCAGCGGAACGAGAGAGTAGTGTGTAAATATATATATATATATATATATAGGGAAATGAATGGATCATCGAATCAATCAAACAGCTAATAATAAAGCTAGCAGAATGAATATATGCTTAGGCGGTAAGCAATGTCCAAGCATACATATTTCATACATGCACAACAATAATAAAGGTACAATAATTTGTTATAGTACGGATGACTTTGTCCGCTAAATAAGTTAACTAAAGGGCTTAACTGAGTTAAATGAGAACAAACTCAATTGCACGTGAGCTGCTATAACCTTTTGTTGGTCTTCTCATGTTTTTACTGTTATCGAAGAAATTTTTCCGTCTGATTTGTTACATAAAGAAGCTGCATGCTTTTTGGGTTACTTGACACTTACTCTTGCAACTTGTCAATTCGTGTATATTACGTATTATTCATTATTTTTCTCCATTATTCTTTCCCGGGATTTTAAAAAAGACTTTGCTGTATTGCGGAAAGTGCTAAAGTTAGTTAGCAAGGTGTGTGTTGAATCTTTTGCGGTCATTATTGATATGGTTGTGGATAAACACATAAAGTCTTGAAAACTCCTGGTAGCTGTTATCGTATCAGATACTAACCATCCACTTCATATCTGTCTCCTTGTATATCTTCTTCTGGTAGAACGAGATGTCGATACATTGAAATCCATGCAAGCAAAGATATAAAAGTCCCATAACACCTTACCTAGCAAATATTCCCTGTGACGAACAGGTTGTTAGAGTTGACCTAGTCAGTAACCTGTATTCTCAAACATGTCTCTAATTAAAAATTTGTACAGATTCAGATCATTTTTTTGTTTTTTAAGAAAAAATAAACTTGTTGAAATACCTCGTGCTGAGAATTCTCTATTGTACCAAAATATAATATTGCATGAAGCCATTAATAATAATACGAGGCAGAATGGCAAATCGACTGAGGAGGTTGGAACATGTGTTACGTATGCCCAACCACCTATTTCCTCGACGGACTATGTTGTCTGATGTAGTATTTAGCTAGAAGAAAGCTAGAGATGGCAAACCAAAACATAGCATCAGTTCATGAAGTCACTAACACTATATTAATAGGTATGGACTACCTGGTTAGCGTCCGCATGTTTATCATAAGTAGTGGTTAGACTTTGAATGATATGGCTCATAATACCTTGGAATGGCACAGGTGCATCCATTCTTTGCCAACCCCCATAATGTACGCTTTTAAATTTCTTATGATTTTTTTATTTCACTAATTTATGTTTTCCTGTCGAGTCCTATCTTCGATATTTAATATTTTCTATTATCATTGATACTGTTGCTACCTCCACTATTCTCGGATTTGGTTTTATAATTTCATCGATCTGTGCTGATGGCAACTTGAACCGATGTACATACCTATTAGTTTCTAAGTTATAACTAACTAATTGTCTGAAATACAATCTGAATCATTAAAAATTAATCAGAATTATTTCTAATAAATGTTATAATTTTTTTTCTGTCATACGCATAGGTTGTTCGTGCTTTCGATGAATTAACCGGAGAGGAAGTCGCTATTAAAGTGATTAAAAATAAACGTTCTTTTGTACAACAAGCTGAAGTTGAAATTAAATTACTACGTGAAATGTCTATCTTTCAAGCGAATGAACAATTAGCTACAGATGTTGGAGCTAATTATATTGGTAAATGATTGTTAAATATACATTCATTTTTATCAAACAATTTTTAAATTAATATTCGTTAAACTTTCTAGTTTATCTTACTTTATATTTAATTTCGTCATAGATATCTTCTAAGGAGTTACAATTTTTTTTTATAATTTAACCTTTAAGAAGGATTGATCATCTTTACTAACGAGGAGATTGTGCAGCATTACTCTTTCTATGATTATAAATCCATGATCTATACATAGAGATATGCATAGATTACAGATTTTTGATCATATACGTTTTCGAAGCATTACTTGTGTAACATGAAACGACTGAGTGGTAAGGAGTTTCAAGGCTAGGAAAAAATGTTAGATCAGTGTATGAAACTGAATATTCATTGACTATGATGTGGTTAGGACATGTGTCATATTTATGCCTAAACACTGTCTGCCTTGATGGCTGATGCTTGCTTGTGTAAAAAGATGTTGGAAAGAAAGCTCCTCCCGACCAAACTAATAAGTAACATCAATTATCGATTATTGGTCTGAGCCGTGACCATACGTACAGACTAGATAGTTGAGGTGTTCGTACAATAATCATGACCAGTGGTTAGAAATGTTCAGTGACATGACTTATAATGATTCACTCTTTATTTTCCTCTAGATCTTCAGTTCTAGTATACCTTCAGGCATCATACTTCCCCACTTTGTCTTTTTAAACTATATTCTTAGTTGAGATAATGAGTCAATTGAAGCTAGACCACCACGGAAAACCTGGAAGCACTGTACAGTCGTTTCGTTCTATTGTGGGACTCCTCAGCAGTGTGCACCCACGATCCTGTCTTGCGAGATTCGTGGATGCGCACTGCTGAAATCGAAATCACTATAATATCCACAAAAACCCTTTCTGATATATTCCTAATATTTAGTTTTTTTTTTAATTTTTGTCATCGATACTGTATTATTCCGATGTTATTTTGTTTTGTGGTATGACGATGTTCTCCAACGGTTTTTCTCCTAAACACTACTGATTATGATTGATTAAATTTTAAGCATCAAAGTAATTAGGAAATTTAGTAAAAAAATTTAAAGCTTTTAATTTTTATTCTTTTGTTTAAAACAATTACTAAATAACCTTTACTCTGATAATAATAAAATTCAGGTTAGGACGATACAATTTACTTTGTGTTAAGTCTTGTTTATTCGACCTCATTACTTTTGCTGCTTAGTATTCCTTAAACACTACTCCGTTACACTGATCTTTAAATCAGAAAACATCTTAAACAGGAACATAATTACATTCTAAAACAAAACAGTAGGTTAACCGAGTTAAAGTCACAGTAAAAAACGTTTTTTAGTAGTGTTTTTACATAAAAAGACTCAAAGGTCTTCTCGATTTATCCACTAGCGTAGCGTTGATTAGCTTGATATTGGCCAGTCAGTATGCTGGAACGTAATTCCATATAGAAAATTCTGTAATTTAATTTATGTTCCAATTAAACCTTGAATTTCAATGTATTTTCTAATTCATATATCGACCTATTCGAGTTGAACTCAGTGATATATAAGCCAAAGGTAAATTCCAGGAGCAACTTAGGCAATTTTGAAATCGATGCTGACCCATATGTTGCTTGGAAAGATGTACTAACAGCCGTGAAAACAGCAGCGATAACCATTATTGATCTGAACCAAAGGGTTACAAACAACCAGTCGATTTCTGCGACATATATTGGACTGATGGACTCTCGTAAATTCACCTCATCAGGCTCCGAACACGATGAGGAGTGTAGGTGTATATACTCTCTGTCTTCCCTTAAACTATGAGATTAAAATCGCTTCATGTCTTTCTTTCTGCGAACTAATTCTTTCTTCCTGTACTATTTTCTTATATCCGATCTTTTATATATTACCACCACTACTTCTATGAATCCGGTGTTCATCTTGTTGTGCTAATGAGGTATGGCAACTTGGACCGATGCACATATGTGCCTGGTCCTACATTGTAGCTGACTAGCGATGAGGATCGAAAACAAATCAGATTTAGCTCGACTAAAAGTATACGGAATGGTAGTGAGCTGTGGTGGGCAACGAAAGGAAAAAAAATGGGAAAGGCAGTGGCTGTAGATAACGCCATACATCTTTTCAGACTAGTAAAATAAACTGGGATTAAGAAGTCAAGTGTAAGTAAGCCAATCTCGGGAAAAGATGACACTTATCTACTCTCAGTCTAGAATGATGAGTGGAACAGTTCAGCTGGCTCTTAACTACTCTACAACTACCCACCATTTCCAAACAGCCTGAATGGAACATTGAAATAGGTCCGTCGACTCTAGCTGAAGTTCAAAAAGCTATAGCTAATCTGAAACGAGAAAGAGCAGCTGATCCAAATAGAACAACTCCAGAGTCTAAAGATGATGGTGCAGTTTTAACGATTAGGTTGACTAATACTTTAGCTAAAGATAGGGAATGACGTAGTTGAACGCGTCGACAACTTCACTTATCCTGAAAGTCTGATCAGCCCTAATGGGTTGGTGTCTGACGAAACCTCTGCATCAATTCAGTAAAGCTCGTTTGGCTTTTGATAACTTACATCACCTATGTCGAAGGCGATATCAGTCCATCAATTAAAGGACGAGTATACTGAGCATCAGTTCGTTCTCTTCTACTTGACGGCTAGGAAACGTGACGATTAGGGGAGAGGATACTCGTAAGTAACTAGTCTTTGATTACAAATATCTTAGAAATATTGCTCGCATGTGTTAAAATCATCAGGTAAGTAATGGTGAGGTCAGATTCAGGGTATCAGGGAATGATGATATAGTTCTGTTTCTGGTGAAAACTGACAAGATATACGGTTTTATGACTACCTTGTATGAAAACTCAATCATTTTTTCTCTCTCTAAATCCAAAATGCTGCTTCATGACTGGTCTACGTAAACGTCTGAACTAATGATAGACAATGATGTAGTTGAACGTTTTCTATCAATTCAAGTGTTACAACTATTGTATATTGAATTCATAAAGTCCCAATATTATTTATCACCCATTGTTTCCAACCACTAGCTGATCTCGGTTATTAGGTGAACCTCAACTAGATTGTCTGCTTCTTCCAACACGACTTCATGAACTAATGCCATGTGTTTTAATTTGTCTCCTCCTAACTTTCTTCGAACCCACTTCTACATTAGACAACTTCGTTTGTCGAGGTAGGCGGTGGTTAGGTATTCATATTGCATGTCCTAACCGATTCGATCAATTCAAATTTGATATCTGATCCACTGATTTGCCATTTTACTTAATACCCAACTCCTCAACCTCTGGAGCTTATACTTATCATACTCGATCAATGATTCGATGGTATTTATGATTGAATACTAGTATAGTAAACTACAAATTATTCTGTATTTAAAAAGACTATATCTTACATCTACATATCATGTGTTATTTAAAGCATATATATATATATATATATATATATATATATATATATATATATATACTATTTTTATCACTTCTTATCATGAAACTGAACACATGTAATGACAGTTGAATTATCACCATCTATGATGATATGTATATCGATTTTGTATTCTGCCTTATTTATCAATTAATGACTGTATTGTTGTTAACGCGTTACCATCTATATTTTCACTCAGTTATCTTTTTCATTATTTAACTTGACAATCTCTCTATGCGCAAATAAAAAAATTTTTTCACGAAAAAAAAGAACCCGACATTGATTACACATTGGTAGTGTTAATTTAGTTGGTTTATTGTTGAATATCTTTCAGTGAATATATATATGTTCCATAGGTTTATCAAATCATCATCTAACCATATTATCAGCTGATATTCATTTGTTTGTGTGTGTGTGTGTGTGTAGTTAGGTAGGTAGATAGGTGTCTGTACGTCATACTATTTTAAGAGAATACTTGATTAAGTTGTGTACATGTGTATATAGAATCATTTTATACAAGTGAAATCGAAATCATATATCATGATTATGAAAGTGATCCTTATTATTATCATTATCAGTTGTATGTTAATAGATTGAATAATTGGATCATATTTATGATGAAGCTTTTTTTGTATGTTCATTTTAACTCAATAGATGTAATTTTTTATTTATTGTATAATCTTATATTTAAATATCATTGTAATAACTTGTAAATTTTCAATATTTTATGCTCCATTGTCAGTCAGTCAGTCAGTAACAACGTAGAACTTCATACGTACGTACATCAGTTCGAGTTACCGTACCACATTAGCACAGAGATGCATTTGTCGATTCGAATCCCATAGTGGTAGAGGTAGTAAAAGTATAAGCAGTAATCGGGAAGATTAGGGTTCGAAGATGTTATTCAAGGAGTATAATCCAATGCCCTATTGTCATTCTCATAAATGCAAATACTCCCTATTGAATAGTAATAGATTGATATTTAGAACGATTCATTTAAGCAAAGTTTATATTTGTTGTTTTTATCAATTATAATCCATATATTGTTATTCTGATATTTAAAAGGTCTGGATTATCTGTTGAATGTACTTTTTATGCATACATTATAGTCTGTAATGCTGATCAGTGTAAAATTGATCTCAATAATATAATAATTATAGAAAATTGTGTGGATTGTTAAACTATATAGTTTACATCATGAACTAATCTTTATTAAGCAAACAATGGGAATCAGGGAACATTAAGGAGCTTTTTCGTACGAGCATAAAACTTCTAAGCAGTATACATTAAAACCATCCATGCCTTAACTAATTGAATTTAATTATATATTGTGTGAGTCACTTACCTACTGTTAATGATAGTATTTAAAGGTTGTTGCAATATCACAAACTGATTCAAGCCAAACGATTGCAGCCTGGCTCATTTTAAAGGTTAATTGCTTACTGCATGACTTGAAAGTTCTGCATTCGATATCTGGTTAAAGGTCATCTATCTACACTACTGAGGAGTTCTATGCTACGACGAAACAGATTCCCAGTGCTTCCTGATTTTCAATGTTTGTCTAACAAAGTTAAATTTATCGCGTAAACTTCAGTATGTCAATAATATCCGAAATCCATACAACTTAACAAATACCTATTTCTACATTATTGAATACTTCATGTAGAGATTCCATGACAAACGTTTGTTGTTAACAAAAATCAATTATTTTATGTCAAGTATTGTTGTAGTAGTAGACCTCTAACGGTGTTAGTATCTATTCTTAATATCTTATTGTATAACACTATGATCACCACTATTCGACATACCTTATTGTATATACGTCATCATCATACATATTATGTTCTAACCACTTTCCACTGACTACAACATTCATTTCATTTCATTTTCGTATTCAGACAATGATGGTCTAGCTTAGAATCGACTCATGAATTAAACTATTAAAATACTACAATCCCCTATACTAATAATATTCAAAAAATAGTTTATATTATTGTCTTCATTCTTATTTATTTAATGTATTCAATGTTATATACTACTTATATGTTCATTTTTCATTCTTTTTTTTCCCTAAAATATTTAATAGTTAATTTAAAAGGACATTTCAGTTATCATGGTCATTTATGTTTAGTATTTGAATTACTCTCTTATAATTTATATGATTTACTTGGTAATACAAATTATCGTGGTGTATCATTAAATTTAACAAGAAAATTTGCTCAACAATTATGTGCTGCATTAGTATTTCTATCTAGATCAGATGTACAAGTAATACATTGTGATTTAAAACCGGAAAATATTTTATTAGTTAATCCAAAACGTTCAGCAATTAAAGTGATTGATTTTGGTAGTTCATGTCATGTACATGAAAAAGTATATCAATATATTCAATCAAGATTTTATCGGTAAGTTAATTCATTATTTCATTGATGATATTTATGTAATATTTGAATCATTTTATCTTTAATATTATCAGTATAGGATTGTTGACCGAGAGTAGATTGGGTCCGCCCTCCCTCTCGAAATACTCTCACACGGCCACGCGTACACAGCCTCTGACAGGAAAGTCCTACTCAATGCCTTCTCGTGGCATTACTGTTGTTTACGAAAATCAAAGGACGAAAAACGAATGTCCGGCAATTTAACCGGATTCCAAACCAAATCAATGGTGCACATGGGCTCCAGTATCCTGAGGGAACAAATGGTGTATGAACCAATTGTTGATCACCGGCTTGCATGGGACTGCATCTCCTCACAATGCTCCACTGCCTTGTGGGTTAGACCTTCAGGTCGAAGGCTCAGGGAGTGGCCCCCTAAGAAAACCACTTATTTTGGTTTGAGCACACGGGCAGTATCACAGCCCTCACACATATCAAATGAGATTTGTGTGGCGCATATCTACTTGGTGCCTCCTTGTACCAATATCTATGTGTTAAAATAAATAAATAAATAATACGATTGTTAATTTTCACTGATTAATGTTTGACCATCATTGAAAGCCATGAAACACACGGACGGTCGTTTCGTCCTAGTATGGGACTCCTCATCAGTGGTGTATCCACGCTTCTTCACGCGGGGAATTGAACCCAACACGCGTGAACACTTAATCTCTAAACCACTGTTTGTGGTTTGTGGTAGTCGGTATTCGATATAAAACTTACACTTCTTATACATCTCGTCTTGATAAACCGTCCTAGATAACGCTTCAACGGTATATTAATCAGAAGGCGAATACGAAGTGTTGATTACGTTTATTACGGGAACACACACAGATATTCAAAATTACAGATTCGTTAAACAAGCATAAAAGATTTGTGCCGAAAGGCGAGCGAGCGAGTGAGTGAGTCAGCGAATCTGATTACGAGTAAGCGAGTACAGTTAAGCGAGAGAGAGAGCAATGAACATGAATAAAATGGATATATATATATATATATATATATATATATATGGTGAAATGAATGAATCATCGAATCAATTATTCGGTTAGCAGTAAGGCCAGCAGCGTGAATAAACGCTCAACCATACATGTTCATACATTCGCAACAGTGATATAGATAGGTTGTTGTACGGATGACTCAGTTCGTTAATAAGTTAACAAAATGACTTAATCGAATTAATTGCGAACATACTCAATTCCACGTCAGTTGTTATACGTTAATGTGTCTAGTAAGCAACAAACGTGAAAAGTGAATATCCTTCTTTTTCTCTTTCAAATATCTAGGCTATCTACAGTCTTTTATGAATAAGTGATGTATTTCTTGTTATCATCATCAATCTATTCGTTGTTGGGTTTTGTTTACGTTCCATGGTTATCATTACTATTTGATCGATTACGTAGTATTCAATTTGCTGACTTACAATAATACTAAAACATATTCAAAATAAATTCTACTATACTACTAATCACTAACTTGTAATTGTGAAAATGTCAACTGCCTTTCCGAACCTATTTTGATGATACTAAATAATATGGAGTATATTTCTGTGTGTCTGGAAAGCTGGTTAATTTTAAGTTCCCTTTTTATTATTGTTTATTTTTTATTTTATTTTAACACATAGATATTGGTACAAGGAGGCACCAAATAGATATGCGCCACACAAATCTCACTCGATATGTGTGAGGGCTGTGATACTGCCCGGGTGCCCAAATCGAAGTAGGTGGTTTTATTAGGGGGCCACTCCCTGAGCCTTCAACCTGAAGGTCTAACTCACAAGGCAGTGGAGCATTGTGAGGAGATGCAGTCCTATGCTAGCCGGTGATCAACAATTGGTTCATACACCATTTGTTCCCTCAGGATACTGGAGCCCATGTGCACCATTGATTTGGTTTGGAATCCGGTTAAAGTGTCGGACATTCGCTTTTCTTCCTTTGATTTTCGTAAACAACAGTAATGCCACGAGAAGGCATTGAGTAGGACTTCCCTGTCAGAGGCTGTGTACGCGTGGTCGTGTGAGAGTATTTCGAGATGGAGGGCTGGCCCAATCCACTCCTGGTCATACCAATTCATTCGGGGGCTCTTATTATTATTATTATTATTATTATTATTATTATTATTATTATTATTATTATTATTATTATTATTACTATTATTATTATTATTATTCAATAGTATGCACAGTAGTAGTAGGAGGGTAGTGAATGAGAACACAGGTAGGGACAATCGAATGTATTTGAATACAAAATTACATGTCGTCTTAGTAAATTTTGATAACCATACAGTAAATACTTAATTTCCAAAATGCCAATTAATTGTCTCAAACTTGACTGATCCTTTGCAAATGTCAATCGATCGTCTCAGAACCCACTGTTCTATCACTTCCATACAAATCGCTTTCTGTTCCCGTTTTTTTCTTCTAGACCTTTTGCTGCCAGACATTCTATTCCTGTCAAGTGTTTTATACTACTTATGTCAATATAAGTAGCACGCACAGGAGTAGCATATTGGTACTAAGAATAAGACTTTGACCGATTTATTGATTCCCGTATCAACACTTTTCTTGATGATTGTGTTTTTTTCTCTTCTCAATTAAGTACATGCCTACTTCATTATTTTTCTTAAAACAATGGAAGAATGGCGAATAATATTTGCATAACATTATAATGAAGTCATTTATTATTTCATGGGTTTCTTTCTTCAACTAATATACCGTTTAATAACTCTCTAGTTATTTCCATTTCATAATGGAATGTATGTGAATTTCCATGCAAAAACTGAATTATCAATCAATAACAAACAAGTTGTTTGAAATGTGAAAGAACTAAAGTTTCAACACTGTTGTTTTATTTTCTGAATAGTTTTCAAGGGTGTTAGTTCTAGAATACTTAAAGCAAACTTTTTATTATGTAATGTAACACTTTTTTTGAAGTTTACAAAAGAGAAGAGGACGAGTAAGCTCGACTCACTAGATTATGACTATAAGTAATTGAAGTCGAGGTGTTTAATTTTTTTTAACCATTTTTCCCATTCTTTTGTCTATTCTTACTTGTTGTCGTTTGTATTAGCGAACATATATATTTATGAAAATATACAGACTATTTCGCGAAAAAATTATTTCCCAGTGATATAGCTTTTTGTGTTCTATCACGATTGTAAACCGATCGAAGTTAGGTAGTCATTGAGGATCTGGAAGCACTGGATAATTGTTTTATCCTAGTATAGGACTTGTCGACTGTGCACATCTTTAAGCTTGGTACTAGGAATGAAACCCCAAGACCTTCGATTTCGCACTCGAATTATTCCATTTTTATTTATTTAAACACATAACCATTGGTACAAGGAGGCACTAAATATGTTTGCACCATATAAATCATTCGATTTGTGTGAGGGCTGTGATACTGCCCGGGTTCCTAAACCGAAACATGTGGTTTTTTAAGGGGCCACTCCACGAGCCTTTAATTTAAAAGTCCAATCCACAAGGCAGTGGGCCAACGTGAGGTGATGCAATCCCATGGTAGCCGGTGACCAACAGTAGGTTCATACACCATTTGTTTCCTCAGGATCCTAGATCCCTGTTTGCACCATTTGTTTGGAATCAGGATTTTCTAACTCCCCCTAGGTGGATCCTCCGTATCCATCACGCGAATACTTAATTCTTAAACCACCTAAATGGAATTCAATTGTGTACAGATCTAATTTCAAACAATTCACTCATTATCAGGCTTTTCTCGAATGTACAGTAATTTTTATATACATGTGCAAAAAATCAAACCAAGTCAAATCATATTGAAAAACGATAACGTATATAGTATGAATTGACACTAAGATAATTGGCGTACTGGTAGTGACAAAAATAAAGACAGATTGAATGAATATTTTAATACAGGAAGCAGGCCAAACCTGGGATAATAAACACTAAATTATTATTCATTAAAAATTATTAATACTACGTTTCCCGACCGAAGCTGCTACCTTGACGCGGTGATCGGGCTTGCCTATCGTGATGACCCAATCGAACTATATTGGCTGGAACATATGTTCCTGTAGGTTCTACCATGCCAGGCAGGTCGATTGGAGAACAGTAAGACTAAAAGCAGCAACTCAAGGTCTGAGGGCGAAGTCGTACTGCTGACTGTAGAGAGGTGTGACAGCAGTAAGGTGTTTCCCTCGAACAACCAGCATCTGCAGCGATGCTGCCTTCCCACAAGGAGGGGTGGGGTTAGAAAAGGGCGACCCTTAAAAATGCCACACCTCACCTTACCTCACGGATTTCCGTCTCCGGCGGTAAGGCTCTTTGAAGAACGAAGCTAACACATTAAAAACCTTCCACGAAAAGGCTGTGCGCGACCGGCCTCAAGCAGTTGTCCCTTGGGCTCTGCGGTCATGCTCCCAGGTCGTTAAGACCAACACTAATCCAATTTCATTTTCAGGTCCCTCAAGAAATACCCTTCCACGGTGTGGGCAGCCGGGAAGTGACATCAGCCGTCATACCCGTAACAGCACACTAATACTACGTTGTAAGTGTGCAAACAATCTGTTCAAGTATATGGATACAAAATAGAATAAAGAAAGGCAAACAAACAGGGGATTTTAAAAAATCAAATAACTTTTTATTTTAATCAGGTCAAGGAAAAGGCCAATTATTCTTAGCATATAAGACTAGGTCGTAGGCTCAAATCCCTACTGTTTTAGTTATATGTAGGAAAGCACGTCGAACCATGTTGGAAAAAAATGCGAAGGTTTATGACTGATCATTTGGAATAATTTAGTGGTATTCGACATCTGACTGCTGTTGACTGTGATAAGACCTAGCTACATATTATCTTTGTTTTACTCTACAAATCACATAAGGATATCTTCATTCATTTGTCCGTTAAGTCGCCGGTTATCCTCAATATAGCTTCCTCTACAGGAGCAGCTGAATTAATAGATATAAAACGTAGGCAGAATTATCCTTTGTTTGAGTAAACATCTTCAGTCGACTAGACGATGAAAAGCTAAGATCAGTTGTGTGGAAGGTGTTTTCAACCCTCTCCCTCTTCTTCAGTGAATACTTCCTTAATTTCTATCTGATTCAAACCAATCTGTTCGACTGTATGGATGATCTAGAAATATTGCTTATAGCGGGACAACTTGACCTAGCACTTATGAGTTATAACTACCATACTCCTTTTTTGATATCCAATCGGAGTGATGTTTTGAGGTATGTTTTGGAAGAGCTCACTTTTGTGCAGTCGACTTAACCTACTCCACAAGAGCGAGTAAACTCATCGATACTCTCATCAATGTCTTCATGGAAAGTATTCTCACATATTATTTGAGTTCGTTGTTTTGAATTTAAGCTTGTGGAAGTTAATATTATTGATAAATATCTTTCGGAGGTTGCATATTTCGCTACAAATTGGTTATAGAAATCGATTATAGAAAGTGTAGATCAAATTTCTTTTCCGACTTAATATGACCAAACTTCATAATTTTGTATACGTTCCATCATGACCTTCCATTTATGGATCTTAGTAACTAATAATCTGATCTTCTTTTCAATAGGATATTCATGAAGTGAAATTCTGAGTGTAATCCTGATTGTAGTATAAACTTGATTGATTGAGTTCGATATTTTTATCACAAATAGTCAGGTGCCATCCACATATCATATATATAGATGAAAACTCGATTGTGGGTTTGAGTGCCTTGAAATAGTAACTTAGACGACAGGCTCCCGACCATCCAATCTCTACTTCAATAATTTATTAATAAAACTCATTGTTTAACCTAAACTGCACATTAAAAGTTCTAAAAATATTTGTCTTCCCTAGAATATGTTGCATGATAATATGTAGTCTCATAATTTGATGTAGTGCTTTACCTTGTTTTGTTTTTTCTAATTGTTGGTTGATACTGTTTTAAAGTAGTTTAGACTAACACTTGTCTCTATTCTACACACCAGATATATTTATATATTCCTTAATCAACTGATTTCAGCTGAAGATAACTATTGAACTCCAGATAACTGTATGCACCCACTTATGTGAGAAAATATAGGGATCGCGATCTACTGTTCATCACTAGGTTATTCCGAAATGTTAACAAAGGGTAAAGGATAAATGTTTTACACAGAAATCGTTGTACATTTAGTTTAGGCAAACTATATACGATCAAATAATTAATTCAAAGATTCGAAACCCACTCTATGTACCTAATTTCAAATAGCTACTTGATATAGTTGTCTTTTGTACTTGTTATTTTTTAGTACTGTCTCACGTTTTTCTTCGCTGAAGCATTGCCATTATTATTATATATCACTCAGTTGTACTTTGCCTTTCATTTATAATGCTTAATGCAAAGAAATTATGAGAACCACCAGTCTTTTTTTACTTACTAGTATTGTTGGTTATTATGTCCACCTCTCGTTTTTATTGCTTATTTCTCAAAAAAATCATATCTTCTCTTTTCCATATTAAGCTCTCCAGAAGTATTGTTCAATTTAGACTATGGCTTGGGTATTGATATGTGGTCACTTGGCTGTATTTTAGTCGAAATGCACACTGGCGAACCATTATTTTGCGGAGCGAACGAGGTTTGTTTTTTATATATTGTTGTTATAATTCCCTTTCATTATTTATTATATCTATCTCTATGTCTAAGGTTATCTTATATTGATAACCCAACATCTTATGCAAAAGTAATTGTCAGTAGAGATAATCAATTTGTATATTAGACTCAATTGTGTAGAGTCTCTTTCATAGTTGTTACTCAATCTGTTTGTATGTCTTGGTATAGTCGGGATTGGAGACAACTTACTCTCATACGACGATATACTTACAACCTCTGCCATATAGGTTCTACTCGCTGTCTTCATGCGGTTGGAATGTCTTTTCGAAAATAAGGGGACGAAAAACGAGCATCAACTACTGAAACTGAGGGGTAAATATTCAAGGTTCACCTAGAAGAGTTGGGAAATAATGATTCCATACCAGTGGTCCACATGGGCTCCAGGACCCTAAGGAACAAGATGTGAACAAACCTATCTTTATTCACTGGTTTCCACGAAACTGTATCTTCACTCCTTTGTGGACAAAACTCTTCAATCAAGAGCTCACAGGAATTCGCTCGCTAAGCATCATGGCTCTCACATTTTATTTTATGTGTTGCATCCTATTTTTTGTGTCTAGCTGTACCAAGTTGTATATAAATTGTATAGACAATTAATTATTGGAACAACTTTAACACACCATATCTGTTTGTCTATTGTATAAACAAGGGAATTATCACAATCGGTAAACTGAAATCTCTCGGTTTATTTGTTTTTAACAAAAAAATAATGTTGAATCATCTTCGAATGTAACCCTTATTAGTCCTGTACACTTTACTCACTATGAAACTGATTGTTATCAAAACGTTATGCATATATTGCATAGCATAAAGTTTTTTTATTCCACATCACATCAATATATAATCTTTTTGCATATCTAATCAGATAGGCGCATACCTGTAATAAGTGTGTCGCAATATTGTTCAATAGAATTGTAATTTGTAAAAAAGTTTCTCAAAAATCAAATAGATTTTAAACGCTTTAATACATCTCAATTTGACTGTCTTTTATAGTCAGGGTATTTTAAAGGTACAATTTTATCCATGTTATTATTACCCCTCTCCCTTCCTACTTGAGTTTTTTTTAAAATTAGTTTTTTACTGTATTTTACTCTTTAGCTTGAACAACTGCTCCAAATTATTGAAGTGATTGGTTTCCCGCCGGTGTATATGATTGAAGCTAGTCCTAAATTATCAAACTTTTTTGAATGCATACCGGTGAATTTGAATTCTACTTCAACAGCGACAACAACAACAACAAACTTAATCAGTACTTCTACCACTGATGGTGGTGCTGACTTTACTGCCAATAATACTAGTATTAATCCGGCCTCGAACCCTACAACGACACCATCGACAACCACATATGGCACATTAACAACTACAATTAAAACAAACACAATAGCTGGAGATAATACAGTGGCAGCAACAACAACAACAGCCACTGTTTTATCTTCATCAAAAAATACTACTAATGCTACTACTACTACTACCACCATCAGTAGTAGTTCGGCCTGTGGTGCTGATTGTATTAATCATTGCTCCAATAGTAATACAAATGTAAAAAATCCAGTCAACCTTGGTGTTACAAATAGCTGTGATAGTAATAATAACTCGAATACATCAAACAATATAGCTGATAAATTGAATACAGGTGTATTATTATCAACATCTGGGACTGTGTTTTACAAACCGAAACGTGTATGGACTAAACAAGAGTGTACTTACGAGGTGAGTGAATCTTTTGAACAAAGAAAAATACAATATTTTGTTCCCTGCACTATAAATGATGAGATTTGTTTCCCTTAGACCATTTATTTCGAGAAGAGGTTCCACTCATAGTTATCTTTAAAACTTTCACTAAGCCTTAAAAATACCAGAGACCATTCACCAGTTGGTGTCTTTAGTTGCTCCTAGAACTAGATTCTTAGGAATTTTGACCATTCTTCATTATTGTCATGCTATTCAATATTATTTCTCTAACGATAAATAGAAGAAACAAAAGGTTTATCTCATGAGGCTGTGAACTATAAATGACGAGTTTGTGCTATACTCCACAACTGACCTTGATAAATTCTTGACTTCGTTCAGCCAATCTGAATCTAGCAAATATGAATGAATAATTTCTTGTTGCTAAGATTAGTATGAACACTCTAGAATTGGTGTTAAGTTTTATATATAGGTTATATGGAGCCTAAGTCTTTGGGTTCTATACCTTAATCTTTAATTCCAAACACTTACCCCTAAAATCATAGTCCTATCTTTAAGCTTAAATATCTGCAATTTTTTCTATGTTCTTATCACATGATAAGATTGCCAATTTGAACACCATATTGTTGACCATTACGAGAAGCCTAGAGTTAACTGCGAGTTCTTATTGGCCCTCTGAGATAGTAGCTCCTCGCCTAACTCAGCCGGTTCAGTCCAGAACACTAATGTCAGTCTCCGCTACATCAGTCATGTTTTCCAGCCATACGCAGTTTATATACAAACAAATCAGACCGCATCATACCATAAAATAAGTAGTAACAATTATACAAGACCAGATTAAATATGGCTGTGATTGTGGGAGATTGTAACTAATATATTGGGAATAACTTAAGAATAGCAAATCGTATCGTCATAACCATATATATGAATCAATATGAGTCAATAATCCGGTACAAGAGAAATTTGGTTAGATTGTCTCACTAGCAGAGCTAAAAAGATCTGCACAGAAGACACTCTAAGTCAGGAGCTTGAATTCATCAACAACTCACTGACCGAGATCGCCTACCCCAGTGCTTTCATTAAGAAGTACATATATGACATAATAAAGAAGTCGGAGATTTCGACTGTTCGTAAGAAACCTTTATATATGAAACTACAATTCAACGGGGATGTGGCCAGTGATACTCTGAAATATAGGTTAACGAAGGTAATCACCAGGACATTCTACGCAGCCAATCTTGCGTTGGCTTTCTCTTGTCGACCAGCGATGTCTATGCAAACGAAGGATTAGTTACCTTAGTTGGCCTCCTCAATGTGCATCTACAAATTCAGCTGCTCCTTTGGGGATAGATATATCGGGCGTACTACCAGGCAACTTAACCGACGAATGAGTGAACACCTACCAGCGTGGTTTATAAAGGGCCAGATAAAAATAATTCGCAGTTCTATCTTCGCACATCTCATTGATAGCAGTCATGCTGTAGATAAATCGAAGTCATTTCGAATGATCTATCATTTCTCAACGGAGTTCGTTCCCGCCTCCTACATATAGCTGAAGCTATAGGAATTCCGTTTGTATTCATCACTATCTAATTATTTACACACTCCTTATTACGTAATGATTTTACCGTTTTGGTGTTGACTATTCCAAGTTTATTTATCCACGTTTGACTTTCTAGTTCCAACGTTTAACTATTGATAAGACTTTTTTATCGTATTTTATTATTCTTACTACTATCAGTACACCTTTCTTCCCACTACTATCAACTTGTATTTCTACTTATTATGTGTGGTGACCTATTCTATTTCATTATGATTATTGACCCACATTGCCTTGATTGGTTTAACATTTTCGTATAAATATTCATATATATTAGAGTAAAGCCTGATGACGATCTAATTGAAAACAATATTGTTCACTTATATGTGTTGTTCTAATTTTCACAATGGGAATCTTTAATATTTAAAAATGACAACTTTCATTCAATTCACTCCTCTCTTCATCTTACCTAATAATATACATTTAGTTTATTGATCGATTATTTCATCTAAGGTATTTGTTCACAAATTGAGTTTTGATAGATAATCAGTTTCATGAAGTGATAATAATAGTAATAATAATAATGACCAACTTGGTTGCACTAGAATGCACACATTTCATATTTGATTTTAGGACTCAGTAGCTAAATGAATAACGCGATGGCGTTTGAAGCGAATGGTACTCGGTTCAAGTCCCAGCCAGAGTGAACATCAACTCTGAGATGCATATACATTCAGCTGACGAGTCCCAAATAGGACGAAACGCGCGTTCTGGATTCCAGTACTAGCCACTATATTTGATTTTATCAAATCAGTTGACTAATAATTATGTTGTACCAGATTCTGTTAGAGGAAATCAATTTCCAACCAATTAGATACAATGTACAAATATTGTTTTGTCTTATAATCTATAGAAGTCTGATCAACCAATTTAATTCATAATGTGAAATATTATATCTATGTAATCATATACATTCATGATCTCTGAGTTGTTGTTGTTTCTCTCTCTCTGTCTTCTGAATCATTGAAAAATGTCTAATATTTCTAAGTAATAATTAATGAACAATAGAATATAATTTACAAAAGTATTCAAGTGATCTAATTCCTAACTCTTTCACATTCATTATTTCATTGAAGAAGAAAAGAACTTTCTATCAAATATTATTTTTCATACTTTTTTAATGAGGTGAATTGATGATTCATTAATGTCTGATGGAGATCTCGTCACAGATACAGAAATCTGGATTTACATTTGCCTGCTTTCATCACTCATGGTGTAGGCGAGATGTCCATGTGCCGAATGAAAGATAAGTTTTCCGTGCAACGGTTCGTTACGTTCTACTTTCTGTGTATGCAACATAGACATTAAGAGTAGAGGATATTCGTAGGTTACTAGTATCTGAAAATAGGTATCTTTACAACATCATCCGTGTATTTTGGAACCACAGAGTAAGCAATGCCTGGGTTAGACATAGGGTACTTAAGAAAGAGGGAGAATATAATAAAAAAGGTAGTAAATACTCATCAGTTGAAGTGGTTGAGACATATATTGTGTATGCTCAACTACTGCCTACCTAGAAGCACCATGTTTATGTAGTAATTAGATGGAAGAAAGACAGATGCGGAAAATCAAGACGTACCAGTTCACAAAGTCACTGACCATTGGACTCAGCTATATTAACAGATGTAAACTACCTACTTGAGGTAAGCGTGATTATCGTAACCAATGTTCTAAGATACTGGGCGATATAACTCGGAATCGATCACAATGGCAGAGACGCATTCACTATTTATCTTCCCTTAGTTGCTGAATCCCGAAATCTTTACTCCTTTTTCTGTTGTCTACATCTAATCTTTGCTACATTAATACCGTCGTCGCTTCTACTACTATGGGATTTATTTTGATAATTTTATTTCATTGTTCTAATGAGGGCATATATCAACTTGAGTCGATGCACATGTGTATCTCACTTTACTTTGGGTAATAACTAATTAATTCAGTTATTATTAGCTAAACAGTTTTAGTTACTCAATACTTATTTCTAGTAATTAACTATCATTGAAAATCTCTTTTTGGTAGTGTAAATTTTCTGGAGTTGGAACAAGAACATTGCGTACAGTTGTCGGAGCTGATATTGGTGGGCCTAAAAGTTGTCGTCGTGGGGAACAAGGTCATACACCTGAAGATTATGATAAATTCGTCGATTTGATCCAACGTATGTTAGTATATGAACCCCGGTTTCGTATTCGCCCGGAGGAAGCTCTCACGCATCGCTTTTTCACACGTAAGGATGAAAGTGGTAAGAACCCTGTTTTAATGTCAAGTTAAAATTGATGTGATTCCAGTTCTCCTTAGTGAATGGCCTAATATGTATACTTTCTATAGAGTAATACACATTCATAATTATTCGTATACAACTTTTGCTGCTTTTTGACTCATTTAAAGTGACTGAAAATCTCATGTCTGATGTCGTAGATAAATAGTATCTAATCAACTAATAATTTATGTGTAATGTCAATCGAGAGTGAATAAGATATGTAATGAAATTACCTATCGAAGATAATGGTAGATGGTTGAACAATTGTCCATGAACTGAGTGAAACTAAACTTGTAAAATATTGGATGCGCTTCAAGGATTTAAATATTAATCGCTCTCCGTGATACCTGGAGCTCCTGGGTTCAGCCCTTTATAATGATAGGGTTCGTAGGTGCCTATTGCCACTAGTCAGTCAGTCAGTAACTTAGACCAGTTCATAATCTGAACAATATATCTAAATTATTGTTACCTTAAAAACTTAAGAATTTCCTTGATTTTTTCAATGACTTTTGTATTTAAAACCATATTGTACGATATATTTTATAACATTTTTATTATTGAAGTGGTTCTATATAAAATAAGGGGAAATATCCCTTTGTTTGAATAGTCCTATCTTCGCTCTCATATGTACATTCCATATTCCAAGTTTTTATCAAATATACTGCCTTTCTGGATACCCTTTCGTCGTTATTTTAATTTTCCCATATAAAGGTTAAGTAATCAATCAATCCAATCTTTTTTTCTGTGCGTTTTAAACGGAACAATTATCTCTCTGAACATAATCTTTTTGAATATGTTAGTTACATTAGAAATAGCTGCCTAATTTCGATAGTTATTTTATGGTTTATCAAGAAGAATTATGTTTCCTATGAAACATATAATTCTAAACAAAAGTAATTGTTTGTCAAATAACATACAATTACGTAATATGTGTGTTATAATGCGTAATTAGATTAGAACAAGTTACTTGAATTTGTCAATGAGTATTGTACTGCATGTAGTTCTTCTAGAGTAACTACCGGTCTGGTCCCAAACCCAGGTAAGGGAGGAAGGTTTAACATGAGGTCAGAAAACAACCTTGCTAAAAAGCACTAACTAGAATAAACAATTTAAAAAAGCATCGATTGCCAGGTATTTAATAGTCTTATCACGAGTGAATCGTTACATATCTATTTATATTAATAATTATAATAAGTTAAAATACCATTACTCTTGTATTCTGTTTTCTACTTCCTTTTATCTCCTTTATAAAAACATAGGACAACAGAAACAACAAACTGGTAACAATAGCTCTTCTACAACCACTTCAACTGTCAATCCGCCACTTACAACTTGTTCAATAATAACGACAACAGCCAATGTAATCAGTAGTAATAGTAGTACTATTACTTCTACTCCTAATACTACTACTACTACCACAGTCGTCACTAATACTTCTGTTACTGGTTCCAATACAAATATAATATCTCTCTCTCGTCAGTTTGCTTCCCCCAATAATAATAAACAGTCTCCTTCCAGTAATTTAGCGCATTGTATTCATGAAAAACTTCCCTCCAGTAGTAGTAATAGTAGTGGTAGTAGCACTACCACGACGATGACGACTACATCTCATCAGCATTATAATTCCGAACAGGACATAATGAATGCATCCTACTTAACATTTGCTCCAAATCAAGAGATTAAACTATCTGGATCAATTGTTACCTCTACTACTTCTACCGTTCCACCACCATAATGACTTCGATCGATTAAATATCCCTTCATACTACTCATAAGGAGTCGGTAGATATGGATGCAAGCTATCATTTTTTTATTGGTTGGTTGGTTGGTTTGAAATCCTCACAATATTATAGTGTGACAGTGGTATTATTGTTAGTGACTGTGTAATTTGTTTCTTTATACATTTATCTGCTTAATTCATTCACTTTGCTGGGTTTTCTCTCTTTTCTATTTATCTTCTATTATGATATGTTATATCCCTTATTTTTACGGAAACCTATATATATATATTACTGAAATTTCACCCCGGTTGAAGTCTATCCTTATTGTTCTTTCCTGCGCTCTATCTCTCTATGAAATGCATTCAATTCACTTTATATGTTTATATATATATAGGCTATCGATCATTCTATTTCTTATGCTATGCGATTGAGTTCCTCTTTTTATTTTATTCCCGACACCATCAATGTCATCCACTTTATTTCTAAGCATAAATAATAACACAGATTGGTGAAGTTCTCTTGAATCAATCTCAACATAATATGATGTTATTATTAAATTTTTTGTTTTCTTTTTTATTCATTAAAACACCATGAAGCTTTTATCATATTCAAGTATCAATAGTGATCATTAAATTGTTAGTGTAAATAATAATAATAATAATAATACCAGTAGTAGCTGTTATTATTGTTGTTGTAATAATAATAGTGATAACGACAATGATCGCTTTTCTCCATCTAAACTAATACACGTACAAAAATACACAGGCAAAAGTGTAATGTTTTATTATTATGTTATCATACTCTCTTATTAAGCTGATAATACTGTTTGTGTATGTGTTATTTTCATGATATTTTTCACCATTCAGTTAACACATATACAAGTTTCCTTGTTTATTTCAATAAAACATAGTTTCAATTTGAATAGAACAAGAAAATTGGATGACCTGTATATGTTACTCTACCTGGTAATGACGATAGTCTCTCAGAATTATCCCTAACTTGATCAAAACAAATCACTTTCTTTTTTTGTTCTGAATTATATTTATTATTCTACAGAGATAAACCATGTTAAGCACAAAATGTGAATAGAATAATTATTTCCTCCATGAAGATGATTTCTTCTTTTTTCTGATGGTTATTACTTTGGCAGCAGTTCTCTTGTGTTTGTATGCATGCGTATGTGGAGTCTTGTGAAATAATAATAATAATAATTACTTTCTTTCCGTAATTCATAATAAAATACTATCAATTACATTCATGAATGTAGTCAATTATTCTCTCTTTTGTTTCATAGCAAAATGGAAATCGATAAAAGAAGGATCTTCTTATAGATATATATCTATATATACTATAAACAATGATCTTTGAAGTCTTTAATAATTATTCTCTTACTATATTTAATTCACTGCTGATTATAACTTGCTTCTATTATACATTTACTAGTTTCTTATAAACATTATTTACTCTAATATAAAATGGTGTTAACAACAACAACAAAATAGTCAGTTCATCCGTCATTATTATCGTTGTTGTTGTTGTTTTCTTCAATGATAGTAATTTGTTTTCCATCAAACAAACAAAAAACACTTTCATTCAAGTAAATAACACCAATCAAATGGTGTGTGTGTGTGTATTGAATATGTTGATCGGATCATCTTATATTAGATACAATTGAATTGCTTTTTATTTATTTCTATTATTATTACTCTTTATTATCATTTAATTAATTTAATATTATTATTTTATCAATGATAAATGTTTCTCTTATCATTGTGTTTTATTTGTTTTATATTTTAAAACATAAATTAGCATTCCTTTATATCATGTTGCTTGAAAAGATCAATTTCCTAGACCACTATTATTATTCTCATTGTTACTTTGCTCTTCTTCTTGTTCTTTTTTTCCTTTAATATTCTCTTTTATTTATATTTTGGTTATGAAAGAAAACAAAACAATAAAAGTATACAGGTTTATCATTCAACAATAATTTTACTCGGTGTATTCTTCTCTCTATTAGGGTGAATTCTCCCTTTGCCTTCCCTTGTTTTATATATATATATATATATATATATATATATATATATATATATGTATAATTCTCATTATTGTATTTATACATAAATGAATTCATTACAAGTGTATTCCTTCAAATAAGATATATATATATTGAGTGTGATGTTCCCCCCCCCACCTTTACGTACATACATACACGCGCGCACGCACATACAGTCATATACATGTTTTTGTCAAATACAATTGATTTAATTATTTTGTTGTTATCATTGTGCCTTTTTCTTAAATGATAATTTTTTTAAATAAAAAAGGTAATACCCCTCCCCACTGAAAAGTGCTTAATTTAAGTACATGTAAATGTTCTCTAATTAGACACATTTCTCTTCTTGTGTAAAGTGTGTTATTTCATTTCTCTTTTCTTTTTTTTTCTTTCAAAGTTTTATTTATGTATATCCATTGAAATAAAGAGATATAGTCAGTCTAATCTATTTTTAATGTTCATAAGTGGTGTTTGAAGCGAATGAATGGATGATAAATCCCTTCATATATATACCATCATTACTCATTCAAACAATATAATTGAATTATAGTATTTCATATTCGTTGTTCTTATGGTAATATTTTATGGAAGGTATTTCATGTGTGTGTGTGTGTGTATATATTCTTGTGTTTTATTCCAATAACAGCTGTCATCGGATGTCATATGTATATGCCTATTTGTGTTTTTAGTTGTATTTTGCTTGTTTATTATTCATCATTCTCTTAGTAAAACGATTATTAATAAGGCTTTTTAATAATCATGAATCAAGTTTCTATTATCTATTTATTTTATCAATTTTGCCTATTATCATCAAGTTGTTGTTGGTGTTGTTGTTGTTTTTATAACGAAAGTGTTCCTTCTCCGGTGTATGCGTTGTTTTGATGTTGGCTTTTTTAAAAATAAAAAGTACCTGAACATATTTGTTTATTTTCTTAGTGTTTGTTTGTTTGTTTTTCGGGGGGAAAATGAGGTTATTTCCCATTTGCTCACTGGTTTCTCGAATATTCTTTTTGCTTTTATTTATTTATATATATACTATATATATTTGTACTTTCTCCGATTGTGTGTGCCTCTTTGTACATAATAAAAAATACTTTAATCTTTTTTTGAATTTTCTCTCATTCTGTGTGTCTACAACTAGGGAACTTTTGTTGTGCTTTTTTTTAAAACACACAGACTGACATTTTTCGTATGTTGCTAATTAAAATAGGCTCACAAAATTAGGTGATTATCTTTATTCTTGATTAACTGTATTTTTGGGGCGTGAGAGGAGGTTGAGATTCGTAAAGAATTACTTATGAATTATTATGTCATCTTATATTACAGCTTTTTTTTTTGCACGTAATCGAGTTGCCTATTTTTTGCTGCCTTTCTCTTGTTTTATTCCTGTTATACTACTTATATACATACATATATTTATTTATATGTTTACTATTTCTATCTTTGCCTGTGGTAAGCATTGTGAAATTATCAAGGCAATTTATGCTATTATATGATTTAAAGACCATATGTTTTGTTGGGTTTTTTTAGGTTGATTAGTCGTATTACTTTTAATCAACACTGTTCTGGCTGTAGATCCCTATTCATCTATTATATATACACACAAAAAGAGTAATAGGCATATAATCATTCAATTTATTTTAAGCTTTTCAGTTTTAAAAACCTGATATAATTGAATCTTGAATGGATCACTATTGTTCTTATTATTACTCATATGTACTTTATCCTTATTAACCTACCTATTATTAACATATATTCCTTAACGTCTTGTGTACATACTTATATATATATATATATATGCTTTATTTGCAATTATTCCATTTCATCACATTCATTATGAAATTCACATAATAATAATATTGATGGTTATTATTATTATTATTAATTCATCTGTATCCAGATTGTAGTTGATTGTATGGGCAAAATTGTATAATGATAATAATTATGGTACGCATAAGAACTTTCAAAAGAAGAGAAAACAAGCAAGGATGAAGATGATAGTAGAGAAGTGAATCGTTCTTTTTTCTTTGTTGTTTTTGTTGAATATTTCATCTGGTCATAAAATAGTGAAAATGTAATTTTTTACTTAAGGAAGATTGTGTTTTGTTCTGTTTCTTTTTCTTGTGTTCTTTCCTTGTTTTGGTTTCTTTTTTTTTAAGTTCTTTCTATTTCAGTTACTGAAAAAAATACATTGTTTTGCGCAAATTTATTTTTTATCCTGATGTTACTATTAGTTAAGGTGTTTCTCTACAACTTACAATTAAAACGGGATTAGAATATTGGCTAGCAATGAAATCCAAGATACACATCCTCTCGTCCTATTTGCGACTTAGCTCTAGCTGGATAGCTGTATTTGTTGCATTCCAGTTCATCAATTTTCTCTCAGATATTCGAACCTACTATATTTCGCCTAAACCTTTCCATGTGTCATTTATCCTAGCTATTGGTTTATGTAGTCGCAATGATGCATTTGTTTTGTTTGAATACCTCTTATTACTGTCGAGTCGTTCATGTAACATAATTGGCCTTCACACTTGTTGTGGCTCAAAACCAAGTGAAAAAAATCACTTGTTGAGCTGATCAGAAGTAGACAAACGAAAAGGTTGTTTGATGATAATCCAGAATAACCTGAAGAAGTAATGCATGTATTGATTTTTTTTAAAGAACAGAAGTTTATATATATATATGAGTATTTATGTATCCTATTCAGTGGCCCTATAGACTTTTTGACTCATCTCGCTCAATACGTTAGTTTGGTGGCTATTGCGTAGCACATTTTATATCACAATTAAATTTCGAACACCGCCCACAATAACAGTGAGTTGATCGAATGTAGTAGAGTATGAATTATTAGTGGAGGTTTCACATACATTTGTTTATACGTACTAGCTATTAAAAGATAGTGAGTGCGTTGCCATTGCTCATTAATTATTTTCGACCCCTGAACAATAATATCTCAGGTGGGAGAAGTTCTAATTTAGAAGACTACCAAATGTGTAACAGTTTTTGTAATAAAAGACGCTTGCACAGTAAGATAGATGAACAAGGATTATTTTAAAACTAATACAAAGGTATAAATTAGCGAAACAAGGACGGCATTCCTACAACTTAAGAGTATCTGAAACTGTAAATTACTATCAGCCAACACTTAAGTCAAGATTTTCAATGTCTAGTAACTTTTATTGTACATAGCTGAATTTTGGAGAACTATCACTGCCACCATCAAAAAGGTACAGTTGTTTGTAGACAGCTGTCTACACAAGGTTCTCTAGATCCATTGACGAGGTACTATCAATAACAACTTACTATGACAGCAAAAAGAATCAACCTTTAGGCCATGAAGGCAATACTCTAGTTGAATGGGTCAATTTCCGAGAACCACCCAGCTGCGACACAAGTGAATCCCTAACTTAAAATCCTAGAGGTAAAAGGAACAGAGAGAGACTAATGAACACAGTACTGAGATTTCGAAGCAGATGTCTTTATCATGCACGAATATGAGCTACTCCATGTAATATTAATATACCCTTAATCCAAGTATCGATCGACACAGCCTTTTCTTCAGTTGTCAACACCTAGTCTATATAAAGTAACTGATAACAGAGACGTTCGACAATCAGCCCGGAGTAACTATTAAAGATACGGAGAAACTAGTATATAAGGACCCACACACAAAAAGCTTAAGATAGAAAATCCTAGAGACTACACAACCTAGTGTCAAATAATTAACGAGAGTTTTTCATGTCCTAAACTTTTTGAGCACCAGCCATCACGTTGCTATTGCTTTCAACATTACTATCAATGAAACATAAAACTGGATTCGTTACACTAAGATCGAGTTCGTAGTCACATACCTTGGTCGTTGTCACAAGGGGATTATTTATAAACTTACTTTTAATTAGGCCCATATGATGATATGCAGAGCATGTTTGACGACACTTATCAGAATTATAAATTAGTTCAGGCTCAAATTAGAGGGATTGTTTTCACTCTAAAACATCAGAACTAAACGACATTTTTGTTAGTAAATTCATTTTCAACTACGCGACCATTGAACTACTGATATAAATATGTCCAACCAATTTTTTCAGATTCCTCAAGGTTTGTGCATCACGTATAATAACGTTTCTTTCGATACAATGGAGTTACAACTTGAAAATTCACGAACATGATAGAGGTTTCAAATCACTGACCATTTAGACGCCGAATATTTTTAAATTAGAAATCAACTGACTTTCCCTCATTTACAACGATTGTGTCAATTATAATAAGTTACCAACTATGAGAAGCACTAAGTGGAATTCTAAATGCACATCGCGTTAGCGGATTATTTGACGTGACATTCAGTCCCTCTTTTAATGAAAATTTATCTACATCCACGCCATTTAATGATGAAGAAAGTTTTCATCTAAGTGACCACTTGCATGAGCTAAGATAATTCTTTGTTTCTTGGCTTTGAAAGATGCTTATTTTTAGGGTCCAACCAACAGTTAAATGAAAACTGTGTGTTACTGCTGTCGATAGGTATAAGTAGTATGTATCATCATTCGAAAACTCCGCCTGAAGACCCTTGGGGCTACTGCCGGTCCCAAAACGAATAGAGGAGGTGGGTTGGGCATAGGGTTAGCAACCCATTCCTGTAGAAAAGTAATTCGCCAAAAAACGCTAACCAGAAAGTGAAATACCTAACAGCAGAATGTTATAAATATCGAAGAAACGAGAATAGTGAGTGGTTGCTGTGGAAATAAAAGAACTGTGAGATCTAAGACGATTGATTGATATTTACAAAGGAAATAGTCAAGTTTGAAACAATTGATTCTCGTTTCACGAATTAAGCATTTACTATGTGGTTCTCAGATTTTACAAAGATCTGTAATTTTATTTTCAAATGTATTTGATTGTTCTGACTTGTGTTCTCCACTACAAAGACCACCAGAGTAACAGTTAGTGAAACCGATCCCAGGTATTAAGGATTCCATTGTTTTTAAAGTTGGGCTGAGATATTCTTAATTAGGCC